CGTGTATGGAAACAATGGCAGATGAAAAGATAAAGATTGAAAAGTTTGATGGAAGTGATTTTGGGTTTTGGAAGATGCAAATCGAGGATGTTCTTTATCAGAAAGACTTATACCAAACGTTATCGGGAGAAAAGCCAGAAAAGATGAGTGATGCAGATTGGGCGATTTTGGACAGGAAAGCTTTGGGAGTGGTTAGGTTGTCATTGGCGAAGAGTGTTGCTTTCAACATAGTCAATGAAACGACTACGCATGGGTTAATGAAAGCTTTGTCGAATATGTACGAGAAACCCTCAGCATTGAACAAGGTGTTTTTGATCAGACAGTTGGTTAACACCAGAATGAGGGAGGGTGCTTCAGTTACCATTCACATCAACCAGTTTAATTCGGTCATAACTCGGTTAGGATCAGTTGGAATTAAGTTTGATGATGAACTTCAGGCGTTGCTGCTTTTATCTTCTTTGCCTGACAGTTGGTCTGGAACAGTGACTGCAGTTAGTAGTGCATCTGGTACTACTAAGTTTACTTTTGAAGGAATTCGGGACTTGATTCTAGGTGAAGACATCAGACGCAGAAGTTCAGGGGATTCTTCGAGTGCACTGTTGAGTACTGAAGGCAGAGGAAGAAGGAATGAAAGAGGAAGCAATCGTGGTATAGGCAAGAGTCAGTCCAAGCATCGGGAAGGAATTGTCTGTTGGGATTGCAAATAGACGGGACATTTTAGAAGTCAGTGTCCGAATGGTAAAAAGGAAGTGAATACTATAGAAAGCTGCACAGACAATAGTGATGATGTGCTAATCTGTAGCGTAGAGAGTAGTATAGATTCCTGGGTGATGGATTCTGGTACATCTGTTCATGCCACACACAGCATGAAGATGATGAAGAATCTGAAGATTGGGGACTTTGGTAAGGTACGACTTGGTAACAATGAAATTCTAGATGTTACGGGCATGGGGGATATTGACTTGAAAACTTCAGTTGGAGCCACTTGGACTTTGAAAAACGTCAGAGTCATTCCAAGCTTGAAGAGGATGCTTATCTCAGTTGGGCAGTTGGATGATTCGGGTCTTGATGTTAAATTTGGTGGTGGACAGTGGAAGGTGGTCAAAGGAAATCTTGTTGTTGCTCGTGGCAAGAAAAGGGGCTCGTTATATATGGTCGAGATACCTCCAGAAGGAGCAAGTCCAGTTTTTGTAAAAGAAAAGGTCCGGTTCAAAGAATCTCGTGTGCTAAAGAGGGTTACCTTTGCAAAGGAGAAACTCAGAGAAAGAGTACAGATTCA